TTGCTTTATGGCCTAATATGTGCTCTATTCTGGAGAATGTTCCATGTGCATTGGGAAAAAAAGTATACTTAGCTGCTGTTGGGTGGAGTGTTCGGTATATGTCTATGAGATCAAGTTGGTTGATTGTAGCATTTAGCTCTTCCGTGTCTTTGCTGAGCTTCTTTCTGAATGTTCTGTCCTTCACTGAAAGTGGTGTGCTGAAGTCTCCTACTACTATTGTGGAGCTGTCTACCTCCCTTTTCAGTGCTGTTAGAGTTCGTTTTATGTATTTTGGAGCCCTGTCATTGGGTGGGTAAATATTTATTATAGTTATGTCCTCCTGGTGTACTGATCCTTTAATCATTATACAGTGTCCTTCCTTATCCTTTGTGGTGGATTTTACTTTAAAGTTCTATTTTGTCAGAGATTAATATTGCCACTCTTGCTCTTTTTTGAGTGTTGTTTGCTTGATATATTTTTTCCATTCTTTAAGTTTTAGTTTGTCTGTGTCTTTAAGTCTAAGGTGTGTCTCTTGTAGACAGCATATAGACGGATCGTGTTTTTTCATCCAGTCTGCTACTGTCTGTCTCTTTATTGGTGCATTTAGTTCATTTACATTCAGTGTAATTATTGATAGGTATGAGTTTAGTGCCTTCATTTTGATGTTTTTTTGTGTGTGTTGTTCACAGTTTCTTTGTTCCACTTAATTTTCTGTGCTGAGTCGTTTTTCTTTATGTATTTTCATTTCATCTTTTTCATTGTTGTTGATTTTGTGTTTGCTGAGTCCTTATATTTTTCTCGTTTTTTATTTCGACTTGTAGTATTGTTAGTTTCCTTTGTAGTTATGTTAATATTTACCCCTATTTTTCTGAGTTTATACCAGTCTTTTATTTCTTTATATCGCCTTGACTTCCTCTCCATATGAAAAATCTATGTCTACATTTTTGAAGTCCTTCTTTTTTGTTTTAATGTGGTCATCTTTTACATATTGACATCTGTTTCCCTACTTTCAGTGTTTTAGCTTTGATCTATTTTTGTGACTTCCCTATCTTGGTTGATATCTGGTTGCTCTGTCCTGTCTAGTCTTAGGTTGTTATCTGAAGTTACTGATTTTCTAACTGGAGGACTCCCTTTAGTATTTCTTGTAATTTTGGTTTGGTTTTTGCAAATTCCCTAAACTTATGTTTATCTGGAATTTCACCATCATATTTGAGAGACACTTTTGCTGGGTATATAATTCTTGGCTGGCAGTTTTTTTCCTTCAAGGCTTTATATAT